AAGTGCTTTAGTCCTTGAACTCTGGCAAGTGCACAGTCCCACTGACCCCAGAGACTTTAGCTCAGTGCTGACCTTAAACCAAGGCCCAGAAGTGGGGCAGGTCCCCAGCCCCTCCCCAGACAGTCTTTTCAGGAATATTCCTTCCTTCCCGTTTCTTCCCTGGGCCCTCTCCTTTCTCTGCAGTGGTTGCTCTCTCAGAGCAGGGCGTGATGGACACACAACCTCTGAAGTGTCAGGAAAATCCCATCCTTCCAGTAACCCTCTAAAATACAGCTGTTAGCGAGCCAACCCACAGCTGGTGGTTATGACCTTCTCGACAGAGGAGCAGAGGGGTTAAATTAATGAGCAAGGCTTTGATGTCTGCAAGCTTCACGCAGTACAAAACCTTCTGCTTTGATGTTACTTTTAAAAGAGAGGAAACCCAGAAGGTGTGCAGTGCTGGAGTCCCAGGGAGGACTCGGATCGGACACCCACAACTGCAGGCACAGGGACTGAGCTCTAACGCGGCTGCTTTTGCTCAGGGCTCTGCTGCAACAGAGAGAAAATGTGACCAAATGCATCCCAACCTCACCAGCTTCTCCCAGACCAAACCCACCTTTGCTCTGCCTCTGGAGAGCCAGGCACTCACAGCCCTGAGCATCCCCATGGGAGCTCCAGACCTGACCTCAAAGGGTCCCCCAGACCCGGGCAGTGCCAGTCCCTCTCCTCCCACAGCTGGGAAATTCCCCAACTTCACGAGGTCAGGGGAGGAGTAAGGAAGCCCCTCTCTCTGCCCCACCAGTGATGCAGCCCTCCTGCATGAGCTCTCCATCGCGTGCAACCCCACATCTTGCACAGCAGCAGCAGGAAGGTCCGAGCCGCGCAGAGGGACCCATCGCGGGCCCTGGCACGCTCTCCTACCTTACGCAGCACCCGGGCCATGGCTTCCCCTATCCATCCGAGCATCCCCACAGCTTTGCCAGCACGCTGAGCCCTTCTCCCAGGGCCGGACAGAGCTGCCAGCAGGGACAGGCTCCTCTCCATCCCCCAGCTCACTTCACCTCCCTTCACTTTTCCCTGCCTCCCCTCTCCTGCCTCCTCCCATGGGGAGTTTCCCAGCGGCTCAGTAATTAGCATCATCATCACCAATGCTAATAACACCACCACAGCTCCTGCCATCCAAAGCTCAAACAACTTTACAGCCACCATCACGCCTCTGTAACCTCCCGGGGGAGGCAGGGAAGCAGCATTACCCCATCGCACAGATGGGGAAGAGGCAGTCGGTGGCAGAGATGGGCAGCAAAGCCGGGAGCCGTGACGCAGGCACTGCACCCACGGGACCCCCCTGTCCCAGGGACCTCCCTGCGGCAGAACAGCCCCTGTGGAAGGAGGTCAGTGGTTGTGCAGACAGCAGGACTTACCCAGAGATGGCGTGACTCAGGGATCTGTGCAGGGTTGGGGCCTGGGAGACCTGGGATGAGTTTTTTCCCCTGTGCAGAGCCTCGGTTCCCCGCTGCAAAGCGACCGCAGACGAGCAGCACGCAGGACTGCGCGTCCAGTCTGAGCTCACCCCTTCTGATGGGACAGCAGGCACTGTGGCATCCCATAAGAGCACCTTAAATCAACCATCAGAGCTCGCCTCTAATCAAGGACTTACTGTTTACTGACAGATTAAAGAGGATTTTTGCTTTGAGCATTCAGAAAATGAGGAATCTGGGGAGATTCTTGTCTGAAGAGCCTGACCCCGGGAAGCTGCTCTCCCACCTTGGGTGGGGTTTGCCACGTTGGATTTTGAAGCCTCACATGGATGGGAATTACAGCTTTGCAAAAAAGCCCACCCACGCTCCCACCCAACAGACCGACATGGCCCTGGTAGCCCTCGGACAGAGGGGGACAAATGCAAGGCACGAGGCAACGGGCTGCTTGGCTTTTGGCAAGTACCTGCGAGACGACATCGACTCCAAATGTCCTGAGGTCTGGCCTGTGCTCCAAAGCCAGGCTGGCGTATCTGTCAGCTGGGAGCAGCAACACAAAACAAAATTCACCTGAAGTGACCCAGCCTCATCCACCAGAAGACACAGAGATGCTCTCCTGGCTGAAGAGCCCTTTCTGGAGGGTATTTTGAAGACAGCCAGCTGGTGTAAGCCACGTGCCGGCGGGGCTCTGCTGCCTGCAAATGCCTCCTGAGCTCTGGATTTTGGGGAGCTCCTGGATTTCTGAGGGTGTTTCAGAAAAGTTTAGGGAAGCAGATATAAATACACCTGCCTTCACTTTGTGGGTGCACGGACAGGGGCAAAACCCGGCTGGGGGCTCTGACCTCCTCGGCAGGGCAGGATGGTAGGATGCTCCGCTGGGAGCAATGTTGGGAGGCATCGGTGTCCCGCCCGCATTTCCCAGCAAACTCCCCCCTGACAATTCATCTGCCTACAAAGACCATAACCCTGATCATACCATGTAGCTCTGCATAGCTACTGGCCTGAAGAAAAAAAACAATAAAACACCCATTACTGTCATTTTTATGGGCTATGGACTATGGTCCATTAGATACCAAATAAGAGGCATTCTTTAAAATGTGAGACAGGCAGTCACCCTGCTCCTCCAGCCATGAAGCACTGTGGAGTGCATTGATCTATTCTCTCTTGGGATAAAACGGGACACATTTAGTGTCTGCAAGGAGGAATATGTCATTTTTTTTCCACACACTGCTGCTCTGCAATATCCTGTTGAATTCACTCTACACCATTCCACTACCACATGCACCAGCCAGGCCTGGGAACTGAACTGGAAACGGACTCTTGGGGCTCAGCTCACAAACCCAGAGCAAGGGGGGGGGGGCTCACACACACACGGCAAAGTCAGGGCACGTGGGGAAGAGGCCTTGGGAGAACAGCTGGTGAAAGAATCGGTCTGCAGCAGCCAGGCAGAGCCACCCCTTTGCAAGAGCAAACACTGGGCTTTGCATCCCTGCAGGGCTGTCCCTCATCCCCGAGGACAGGAGCAGCAGCGTGTCCCCTGCTTGCTCACACACGTCCATCAGTCAGGGACCAGCACGTACCCTGGTGTCTGAAAGGCACCTCTGTGATGGGACTATGTCTACACTGCCTCTTTCATGGACATGCACCAAACCCCACGGGGACTGTCACGAGGTCACTGGTGGTTGGCAATGTCCCCGGGGGCCTCTTCTTAGACACAGCCTGTGTACTCACAGCTACACTCCTGAGGAATGCCTTTTGCCTCGCTCTTGATGGAGCATGACTTTTGTTTGGTTTCTGGATGAACGTCTAAGTTAAAAATACAAGGCTATTTCTGGCAGAAGTGGTTTGGTTTTTTTTTTTTCCTGCCTTTGTATTGCCTTGGATGCCCCCGTGCTGCTGTCTCCCTTCTGGCTCAGAGGAGCTTTGTTTTCCTTCTCAATGATCATGTTTGCACCGGTGAGCAGTAGGAAATGCTTCTCCTATTAGACCATTTCCACGAGCACTGTTGGGAATGAAGAATGAGCTCAGAGAAGTCTAAAAAAAGCTCAGTCGGTGTACAGATCCTGTCTCCAGTGGTCAGAAAACTGAAGATCAGGAATGTCTGTGGTCAGAAAGGGATGTGTACACACACACACAGGTACAGCAGGACATGTTCCCCTCGCGACCCACAGACAGGAACAAAGGACTCAGTGCTACAAACATTTCCAAGCATCCCCACTCTACAGACAGCCTTCATCCCAAGCTCTGCAGCTCAGACCCTTTCTTACCCAGCATGAAAATATTTTCTTTTTCTTAAATGCCAAGAGAAAACAGGCTTATCTTTCCTGGGCTGGACTTATTCCATCTGGAATCACTGCATGACCACAGGTCTGTGATGGTGTGTTACAGTCTCAGCTATAAAGCAAGAGCCCAGATACTTTAAAGCACCAGTGGGATCAATAAATCTTTGCTGTTACACTCCATCTCCAGGCAACAACAAGCTGAGGACTTGGAGCTTCTCACTTGAGATCGCTGAGTTCAAGTATCTCCAAGCCCCCTCCCACAATGCAGAAACACGCCATCACCTGTGGCTGTGATCCTGCCTCCAGGACCGAGAACAAAACCAGCACAGCTGCTGCAGGAAGCCTCCCCGGTACATCGTATTTGTCACAACAAACATCAACACAACCGGAAGATAGGGGCCTAACAAACAGCTTAATTGTTCAGGGTCAAGACATCAAAAAGGCACATGGAGAGCTTTCCAGGGCACGGATCCCCACTGCCTCCCCGGGAGCCAAGTACAGACCGAGTCAGAGCTCTTCAACACCCAGCACAGGACTTGCTGCGTGCCAGTAACCCATAAATCACCGAAACCAGGGCCAGCTCCTCTTGCCAGCTGCTGCTCTTTAGGAAGCACACTCCACCTCACTTGCTTCCAAAAAGCAGCTTTCAGACAACGATCTTCCATCATCTCTGCCTGACGATGGATGGATTCAGAGAGACTGCTCTGCACACTGCTGCTCTAGAGACCATCAATGTGATCAGGAGATCAGGGGGAACTATACCCAAGGTCCCAGATTTGGCAAAGGCAAGCAGTATTTTTTGTTGCTCACCAAAAGCCTGGAAAGGGCTCTGTTTCTCAAAGGCAACAAGCCCACCCCACATGAACCCCAGGAGGCTAATCAAGTCAGACTCCACAAAGCAACGGCTCCAAATTGCTGTGTTCTGGAATTCAAGGCATCACATCCTGACAGTCCTAAACTCAGAGTTCAGGTCTAAACTCTCATCCCTCAGGAGAAGGTTACAAATACCACCAAGCTCTCATCAACCAGTTCACGGGAGGTTGGTATCACTTGTCTGTTTAAAAGACAGTGAAACCGAGGCTCAAAAAGGCAAAATGATTTGCCTACAGTTGCCCAAACAGTCAAGAGCAGAGCTAGATGCAGGCTCTGCTTTCCAGCCAACAAGCCACGCTGCCACCCCCACACCAGGTTAGAAATGAGGTAAGAAATAACATGCTGTAAGAGACTCCCAAACCAGTACTGGAGGAGAAAAACATCTTCCTACCGATTGTGACACTTGGACTCGGACTTCACTCGTATCCAGTGGTGATGTGCTTGATCCTTGGGACTTCCTCTCTGAACCGGAGTGCTGCTCCCGGTATTTCTTTGACCTCGCAGGTAAAGACAAGAAGTCTTTTCCCGAAATCTTCAGGTCTCCCACATGATGGCTGTCCCCATTTTGGTCCTTTAGAAAGCAAGAAACAGTCACTGCACATTGTCTCAGGCTTATGAGGAGATCTGTTGGCAGGCTTCCACAGAACAGACACACACAGAAGCAAGAAGTTAATGTGGAGTTCAGATGATGTGAGTTACCGCTCGTGATGTGCAGGGTAGAATAAGGACATTCTGCCTGTCTCTGCAGCAGGTGATTTTCACAAGTGGAGAGGAAGCATCAACCAAACAACACACAGCAGTCAACTTCTCTGCAGGGAGAAGTCAGGGAAAAGTAGCAGAGAAGTAAAAAAAAAAAATCCAGTTTTAGGGCTGTGGTGTTCCTGGGCTGCAAATTGTCTCTTTATCACACACCGAGCAGTGATGGGACTCCCCAGGGTGTCCTCACTGCAGCAACCACATGCAGGTGAAAGAAGCTCAAGTGACAACCCAAAAAGTCCTTGAGGTTGGGATTTTAGGACACGTACACCAAAAAGCCAAGAACGCTGAACCTGAAGTCGCAGCACACCAACAGCACACTAGGATGCTGTAGACAAAATGCCTTTTCCATTCCTTGCAATACAAACAGGAACAGCGAGAACAAGTATCATTCCCCTTGACGCTACTGACAGGACCAACTGCAGCCAGGCTGGTGTCCACGTTTTGAAAAGCAGCCACAAAAGTGGATTTCAGAACTGGAAAGAAACTGCCTTCCAATGCCTTACTGCCTTAGGTAGAGCCCTCAAACTGTTTAGTTCACGACAAAAAGAATAGATGGCTCAATTACGGCATGTAATCACCTTCAGGGTAAAAACCAGCATGCGATAAAGAGATTTTCAGTCTGGTAGAGAGAGGAATAAACAAAAACCAATGGCTGGGAGCTAAAACCAGAGAAACTCAAAACAAAAAATAAGGCACAGGTTGGAGAGAGAAGGATGACCAAGGAAGCAGCATCCCTGCTGTCTGCTGGGGCACTCAGAGATACTCTCTGCCCAGACACACGGCTCCATGGAGAGGCCCTGGACAAGAGGTCCTGGCCTGTGCGGTAAGAAAAGTCTCTCCTGACTTGAAGCCTGTATCTGGCAGAGACAAAGGGCAGAGAGGGTGAGACAATAATGAGACGGTGCTGGAGAGATCACAGTTCACTCCACTTCTTTAAATCTTACCGCCCTCACCATAGCAAGCTTGAAGCAAACAGCCCTCTCTGATGACTGTAATCGCCTCTCCCTAGGAACTGCAGCGGAGGAGAGGAAGGGGACTTGCAGCCAAAACACTCACCAAGGTGAACCCGCACACACCCCACAGGACCACTGCAGGGGGATGGGGACAACTCGTGTCTGACCCCATGGTTACAGACTACCCACAGCTCCTGTTTACTCCAGCCTCCCCATGAAATCCCCAAAATCCCATAACCCTGCCCAAACCATTGAATGAGGCTTTAGGAAACCCATAGCATCAGCAGCAAACCACCCACCAGCAAAACCCTCCGGGCCATGCTGCTGGGATGAGGATACACCGGGGAATGTCTCCCTGACACCGGGCACTGCTGTCCCTGCTGTCAGTGCCCCAGAGACGGAGTCACACTGGTTAGAGCAGGTAGGAGCCAAAGTGGCCAGTAGGCAACTGGAAAAATTAACAAAAATACATGAGTATGTTTGGCATTTAACTCCCAAAGACAGTTAATTCAGGGAGAAGCTTTCCTCTGGCCCTCCCAGTGCTTACTGGGATGTTTAGGCACTCAAATGGCTTTGCAAGCCTGAGGTTGTTTCCCATTGACCGTCTGCACCAACCTGGACAAGTTTTTTCTCTCTGTGACATTTCTACAAAAGGGGAAATGGCCCCTGGGACACTTGGGAGAGCTGTGCCTGAAAAGTGCTGGATGAATGTAAATTATTCGTGCCAAAGACATTCCAAAAAGGCAGAGCAGGGCTGCCCACCTGGCCACCTCCTCTGGGAACCGGCATCACCAAGCCCCATGGCACCAACGGTGCCAGCCACTGGGCAGACCCTGCAATCCTGCACAAGATTTTCTGAGCAACTTAAACAACCCCCATAGGTGGAAAGGCTCAGTGCCTCCCAGACGACTGCAGAAACAGCCTTCGCCTTGGGGAGACTGAGAAAATGCTGATCTGCTTGGATCTGACATTTCCAGCAGCAAACCGGAGCAGAGGCAATGCTCAGAGCCCCTCGGAACAAAACCCGCTGCCTCCTGCAACGCACCATCCCCTGCCTCTGACCTCTCCTTCCCTCCCCGCGCTGAACGCAGCACTGCGCTGGGCTAACGAGGCACCGAGATGGGCCACCAGCCACTCAAGGGGCTAAAACGCTAATGATCATCCTCTCAATAAAGGGCTGCATTTTCAAAAAAGCACAGAAGTGGCTTTTTTAGCTTTCAGCTGTTGAGTGCCTTTCTAGTCAGACCAGCTGTTCCTCTCCTCCACGCTCTCCAGAAACCCTCTTTGGTTAATCCCGTTGACTCCAGCGATAGCTGCTAATTGCATACTCCCCTGCAAATGAAGCCAGTCAGCAAGCCGTGACAGATCCCTACTGATGTTTAACCTTCGAGGCCAGACATCTTCGCTTACCTTTTCAGAAGGGAACTTCAGGAGGTCTAAGCTGTCCATGCTGTTCCTTTGGAGTCTCTTTGGCCTGGCTCCTGCAAAACAACACACTGGCATCACCCCCAGCACTAATGTCACACAGATAAAATTCAAACCAGGGCAGACCTGCCGCTCCTGTTAACTACAAAGTCAAAAGGACGAGATGCCGCAGCTGTGCTGTCCTTGAGATTCAAATGTGGTTTTTTCCTCTGTTGTTTTGGGTCCTTTTCCCAACACTATCCCAGCACCGTCAGCAGCAGCTCGGGCTGCGTGGGGCTGTTGCTGTCAAACCAGTGACTGGGTCACACCATGACCCTGATCTCAACTGAGGTCTCTGGAATTCAGGAGCTACAAACCCCACTTTAAACAAAAAAAAACAGGGGATTGACATTGAGAAAAATCGTAGCAAAAATAATAGTTTAATAAACATGTGGATTTGTTGCTTTATCTTCATGTTTTTAACTTAAAGAATGTATCTGAGACACAGCTTTGAGCTTTTGTCTACAGTCACGAGGGCTGGAAAACCAAGTGAAGGAACAAATATTTTCTATCACAAGCCCACCCTGAAGGGGAGCAAAACCTTGCCCTGAAGCTGACAGAGAAATCAGAAAATATAGCAGCACTCATTATATTTATTTGAGATGTCATAAAATTCATTTTAATGTAGTACTCCTGCAATAACAGTGAAACACAGTTCAGCTCTGACTCTGCTTTCCAGACTCTGCCTCCATGTCTCCCTCCAGCCTGCTTCCAGCTTCTCCTGCCTTGCTCACTCACACAGCCAGGATTTACACAGTGGCCCTGGGATGCCTCCACCACATCTGGGAAAATGCCTGCCCTCTCACCCTCCTGCTCCCCTTTCCCAATCTTTCCTGAAGGTTCGGTTTGGCTGAGCACCACGTGACGTCCTGCACCAGCGACACCAAGCAGCAGAAAGGAAAGCCTGGGACTCCAGGTCCCATGACAGCTTCCAGGCTTCAGGGGAAATCCTGGGGGAGGGTGAATGAATGCATGTGAACTGGAACTCGTACCCACGCCGAGCCCTGAGAACGGAAACCACCGAGCTCTGTGTGGTTCCTCCAACAGCAAACTCACCAAGCCTGAAGATTCCCCAGTTTCTCACCAGCGCCTAAAGCAACGGTGCTGTATGTTACAGCAGCACCCACGGACCCTTCACACCCTGGGTGCCACTGAGCTGCTCCCTGGACAAACTCCACGAGAGGGAAGGCACAGAATCCATAAACCATGTCAAGACTGGCTGTAAGGAGAACACGGTGATTAAATGGAAGCAGCCCCCAGGCAGCAGGGATTCCTGCACTGACACACCTCCAGCTCAGCCAGAGCTCCAGAGGCCACCACAGTTGTATCTAAACTGCAGCAACTCCAAAGACATTCCTCAGTTCAACCTTGCTCAGCTTCACGAGACACAAAAAGCAGCTCAGATCACCTAGGACTTCATTAAGGGTCATGCACATGTGTCACATCTTAGTTATGACCTAAAGTTGATTTCATTGCCCCTTACCACTTCTTTGCTGCCCTAAAGTGATTTACTTCTTGCAGCCACAAAAACTCAAATCCCCAAAATATTTCTGCATGTTTGTCACTCTACTCCAACAAGCACACTAGCACCAGCTTCATTTTAAGGTGATTTCATTGCTAGGTTTTGAGTTGGGAAGGGATGGACACCAGGGCTGGTGAACAGGTACAGAACAGATATTGTTGCAAATAAACAGCAAGGCCAGAGAGCGAAGAAAACGTAATGATACACAACTGCCATTCCTACCAAACCCTACCACCTTCTGCACTGCGAAGCCAGTCGCTCACTTGGCAGCAGCAGCAACAGGATTTGATCCTGGAAGGTCAGCGACTGCTGCTGACGGTGGCTGCCCTCCCTTTGGAGCCAGCAGGAAAATGGGACTTTGCTGCCCTCAACAAAGCAGGCAGAACTCTTCCTCTTACCATTTTTATTTCAGTCCTTGCTTACGTTTACCCAGATCCCTTATCTAAGATATCTTATGTTTGTAACACATCTCAAGCAGGCTGGGAAAGGCTCCTGCTGTTGGACACCAATGAAACAATACGGTTATTTGGTAGCTGAACACATCTATCATCATGGGCTGGATGTGCACTCAACCACAAGGACAGCTGAAACGATCAAGCCCAAGCCCTCTCCCACCATAAAAAGGAGAGAGCTGCACTGCTCTTGGTGGGTTTGCACAACCCACCACCCTGCCAGAGAGCCCCGCTCACTCCATCCAGGACCCCTCTGCCATGTGCTAAACGCTGCCCAAGCTTACGGTCCTCGGGGCATCACCGATACCAGTTTTTAGCTGGAAGGACCCAGAGCTCTTAAAGTCCTCTACCAACTCCGTGGGAGACACAAGACACCCCCAGCCAGCTCCCATCGCTCCACCACGCTCCTACCAGCAGCCCATGGGCATGGAGGAGGTGGCTGTGCAGCTGCCGCCAGCCCCAGGTCTCCTCCCACGCTGCCAAAGGAGCTTTTGGCCGCTGCCACGTCGGTCAGGCAGGAGCTCAGCGAGGGGAAGGCAGCGGTGGCTGTGCCCAGTGGCTCCCAGTTACACACAGTGACGTTCTGGACAGTGCTATGGCTGCTCAGAGCTCTCTGCTTTCCTCAGAATAACCCACAGCCTTAAGCATGGAGCAGCGAGGGGGGTCTGGAATAAAAGACACCTACAAACACTTAATCAGATGGTAAGTTTGGGTTTCGAAGCAATGCCCAAGAGGAGAGGCCAGCATCTGGAAGTGAGCGTGCGTCACAGCGGCTTTTAACAGCCACTTCCAGGAAAGCGAGAAAGAAGCAAAGTGTGTCTGATTAGATAAACACACATAATTTCCAACAGTCTAAAGAGTCGTTAATTATACACCTCCGTCCTCAGGTACCTTTGTACATTTGCAATAGCATTAAACTGCTGGCCAGAAACCATTAATCTCTGATCTGAGAAAACCTGCCTTCCCCTGTGTTAATCTAATATACGGAGTCAGCTGAGACTCCCCCAGCAATTAGGGCACGCAGAACAATTTGTCTTTTTCAGTTGTTTTGATGCCAGTGTTCCTCTGTTACCAGGTGGATTTCACGTTCAGTTGAGCTAAGAGCGGAAGGAGTTAGGAGTTACAAACCCAACTTCAGAACCATCCAACTCAGCTATTTTCTTCCCAAAGAAGACAACCAGCGCCCGTCTGACAAAAGCCCGTGGTTCTGCCATCCCCACGCCCCATGAGCTGTCCCACAGGTGGAGCGAGCAGCACCATTACAACAAGCAGCTAGAAGAATTAAGAGGCCACTATCAGCCAGGGCTATCGCACACCGCATCGACACAGGCGGCAATTCCCACCGCACGCGTGGGAGCTTCTCCCCTCACTCTGCAGCAGCCAGGCTCGCCAGCCCGCTGGTACTCATCCTCCAGGAGAGCAGAGACACTTCCATACTCACACGCACCCCGCAACAGGCGTCCCCCCGTTAACTTTCTGTCTCCGACCAGGACATTCCCTCAGATGGCTCCAGACGTGACTTGCAGCCTCCTCCAAGTTATTTTTCCAGAAATACCTGCAGCACCACCCAATACTCAGCAAAAGTTCAACTCTGCCTCTTTCTCCCCAGGGCTGATCAACAGTGGCAGCAGCAGTCGCGGATGCAAAAGACTGAGCAGCTGAAAACCCGAGTCTGTTCCTCTGGAAAGTTTTTTCCTGTCTCTCCAGTATTTATTGGCATGTTTACCAAGCCTACTGCAGAGTAACGGAAAACCTCAGGGGCATTTCTAAATGCTCTCTCTGTCTTCAAGGTTTACTGAAGTCTCTAATAGAGCAAGTTGAAACCTTCTTGTGAACATCAGCTGAGCAACGCTACTGACTGGCTGTATTCATGCCTTGTTTTCCTGGAGCTCCTCGGATGTTGTTCTTTTCACTGCTTAGGCTTAGGGTTGTTGTTTCTTTTTTAAATATTATTTTTCAAAATTTCATACCCCCCTCCCCTCCCACTCCTGATCTCAACACCATCACAAACCTATGGGATTTTTTTTTCACTTTTTGCTTTTGCAGTTTGGTTCCTGGGGTGAGTTTAACGGCTTTCACATTCTTGTATTTTAAAACTCAATGAAGCAGTCACCCCCCTCCCTGGGAGGACTGGATGGACTATGGGGACAGGGAAGCTCATCGCAACAGAGCAGAGGGTGATGTTTGTGTGCCTGCCCGCACGCGTACGAGACACTCTTGCTTCCCACAGCTCCCTCACATCCCCATCTCACAAACACTCCCTCTTCTTCTGTCTTTGGGACACTAACCCAATACACCCGTGTCAGACACCCACCTAGACCCACCTTTGTCCTGTCTCCCATCCCCACCCTGCAGAGATGGGGACAGGCCCCTGCACAGCCTTGTGCTACCTGTGATGACACAGACACAGGAACCTTCATCTACAATCTCTTCTTCACACCCAGAAATTCAGTAGCATGTGCTCCCTCCTCTCCTTGGGCTTTGTAAGCTGGTCAGTGTCATGGACCCTGCATGGCTGATGAAGAGGTTAAACCAGAGCCGACACGGCGCATGCAGGGAACACAGCATCTTCCCCCCATTCTTCTCCTGTCCCCTTGCTGTCTGCCACCAGCTCCATCCTGCCTGGAAGGATGGGCTCCAGAGGGAAGGTCTCTATTCCTGTGCCACAGGCAGGCCCCTCCATTTTCAGGGTGAAATTAGAGCAGAAACGTTCATGTAGCAAAAATTCTCCAGCAGTACCTTGCTACAAAGTGAGATGTAGCCACAGAAAACACGAGGAAGTGTTTTATCGTGGGATGGTGATGGGATCATCCCCTGTAAATCTGCAGCAGGGCAAAGCTGGGCAGACAGCGTGGGCAGAGTTCTGTTCCCTTACAGCTAGTCTCCATATCCAACCGGCGCTCCTGAGATTTCAGAGTTGACAAGATCGAGCAGAACACGCATAGCAGTGACTCAGGGAGCCCTGCCAGGAGCTCTCATCAAGCTGACATGTGCTTTGATAACGCCGAGGCTCCCCCCATCTCCAGCAGCTTGGAGAGCTGCC